TTACGTAGGTGTTGACGCACTTACTACCAACGCAAAACAATTTTACGCAGTTGGGAAAGTTCAGCTAAACAAAGATGCGCTGGATTCACTAATCTCGGTCTTCCTTCCTCCATGAATAAGGATCCCAACCAAAGTGGTCGGTCGTCAGGCAATGGGGCAAAAATACTGGGAATAAAGGGGTTCGTACTCTGACAGAGACAGAGTGGACCTTGACAAAATGCCAAAACACAAACTCACGAAGGCAAATAGGCAAAATTGACATCCTTAAATTCAATTTTGCCTCCAGTGATAGCTAAAGGTGTTGCGTCGGGAACATCGTGAATGCTGGTGTCGTCCTCCAACAGCTCGAACATGTTCTCCATGTCCACAAAACTGGTCTGAAGCAGACTGGATGATAAAAAGGAGACAACAGAATGAGGCATTAATCAGGCCGACGGCAGGTCCCAAGTGCTTCTGCTACTTAGAAGCAATCGAGTCAGTTTTCTCAAACCCTCTTCGTCGACGAAGAAGTGGACCATAACCCATCACTTGCCAGCAAAAACGGACATCTAGTCTCAAATAACTCCGGCCTTCGAGAGCGATCTGCTTAATCCCTGTTCTACGGCAAGGGCTGTGGTGTTTGACGACATGATTCCACATTCCATCGCCAAATCGAAGTCTCACTCAGCCATTCTCGCAGTGAAATATGCACACTTCCATACATCTATCCAGCAAATGTAACGTCGGGAGCTCAAGAATCTAATTCCTGAAGGATCTAGAAGTTCTGTGATCTTAAAAACCCCATTCTCACACCCATACAATCATCAAATGTCGCTGATTTTCTGCCATACTCTCTGACCATTGTCAATCACGCAAATGAGGCAACAAGGACACCCTCAAAACCTACAGGTGACTGAGCAACTGCACCATCAGCTGTCGAAATCCTCAAGGAATCCATCACAGTTCCTACTAACGCTGAAATTAGTAGCATCCCCACCAAGAAGGCATTATTAACACGTCCACCAACACAGATATCTGGCCATTTCATTCTTCCATCATAACATTACAAATCACCAACTTTTGGCCAACTTAGCTGACCCTTAAAAGTTTTCCTGGTAGTGGAGCTGCCTTTCTACAGGTCAAGAACATGCTGAATCCATCTACTACATTGTCTTGAATCCAACAAAACTATTCATAGTATGTCATGCGAGAGGGCACCACAACTTGTCAAGCCAAACTCAAATTACGTGCATCTAAGTCACCGGACTCGGACAATATCGCCACGTCACACACATGTGACGAGGAATTCGAGGTACCATCCCTCTTTTACTCACCGATAATAATTGCCAAAGAAGTTGAGTGGCATGTAGAGCTGGAGGATGTATGTACAGAAGAGCACAAAATCGCCCACTGTCAAGGTACCGATAACGACATCGCGAGCACAAAGCATGGTTCCAGCCAACAGACC